TTGTGTTCTTTCTTTTTAGCTGCCCTCTATAGAGGCATGACTTCTTTTCAATCCCAATTGAAGAATGGTGCATCTCCCACTGGCAGTGGGCCTCTTTGGTCCACTTAAATGTGGTTGAGAGCCTATTTTCCATCGCTTGGTGCTCCATTTTTTTCTAGTCCTTCTGTTATCTGCTATGGGCTAGCCATTGGTCCCCTGACTCCTGTAAATATGTCCAGAAGGGACATTTTTTCATTCTTTTATACTTTGAATTCAATCCCTTCCTTCTTTCCTTTTCCTCCCTTTTTGACTCCAGATTATGTGCAACCTCCATCCACTCTGGATAGTGCGAACACTTCCTTGTTCGTTTGGATTCAGTTTTTGACTGGGAGGGAGTTGTTCCATGATATTTTGACTGGGACCAATGCCAAAGTGATGAGTGTAATCCACTCATTAAACGAAAGCTTCTAAATCGAGTTTTTTGATGTGTTCTTGAGCATTTTTGAACGTTTTGATGTGCGTGTTAGTGTTGTTTTGCAGTTTGGACAATTCTCAAGAAAATATCACTATTGGGAGCCGGTGATGAGCAAAAATGATGATCAATGAAATGGAGCATGAATAAGCAAGTATTGAATAAGATTGGAGTGGGAAATAGGCTTGGAAAAACAAAGAGAAGAAAAAAGCAAGCAGAAGCCTGGGCGCCATGTTTTGCAGTTTGGACAATTCTCAAGAAAATATCACTATTGGGAGCCGGTGATGAGCAAAAATGATGATCAATGAAATGGAGCATGAATAAGCAAGTATTGAATAAGATTGGAGTGGGAAATAGGCTTGGAAAAACAAAGAGAAGAAAAAAGCAAGCAGAAGCCTGGGCGCCATGTTTTGCAGTTTGGACAATTCTCAAGAAAATATCACTATTGGGAGCCGGTGATGAGCAAAAATGATGATCAATGAAATGGAGCATGAATAAGCAAGTATTGAATAAGATTGGAGTGGGAAATAGGCTTGGAAAAACAAAGAGAAGAAAAAAGCAAGCAGAAGCCTGGGCGCCATGGCGCCCAAGGAAGAAAAAGAAAAAGAAAAGAAGCAGAACAACGGGCGCCACGGCGCCATGGCGCCCATGAAGAAAAAAAAGGAGCAGAGACCTGGGCGCCACGGCGCCAGACCCGGGCGCCATGGCGCCCGTTTCCAAA